ATTTGTGAGAACAGGTTTTACAATAGCTGCTTTGCAACAGATAGAGATGCATGATGTCTCTTGTTTTTAAATTACTAGTAACAACCATGAATTATATAGATCCGCATATTGCCTCTTGTTATAATCTGATGGTACTAGAATTGGTAGTGTAATTTCATTTTCACAGATGAATTCATGAATTTTATCATTTTTATAGTATGGCTGCTATGGTTTTGCTTGAAAACAATTTTTTCATTCTGTGATCAGGATGATTATGAAGTTGTAAGAAAAGTTGGAAGAGGTAAATATAGTGAAGTCTTTCAATGCATTAGTGTTTCTAACAAGGATCGCTGCATCATTAAAATCCTCAAACCTGTCAACAAAAAGAAAGTTTTTTACGTCTATTTGATGAAAAATTGTCTTTTGAATTCTAGAAGTCATACTGTTAATGTAATTTATTTTTGCCGAGCTACATAAAAGTCTATGTAATCAAATAGTTAAATCCTACTTGTTGCCGCGAAGAGCGGCGTCGGCGCAGAACAGCGTATCGTAGCGGGATTTCTGGATTCGTCGAGTCCGAGGTTTGTGGGATATCCGGGATTCAACAGAGTAGATGTATGATTTCATTTTCTTTTCCTTCGGGTATGGTATTACTCATTGGTCAACAGTTGCAAAGCAGGGCGAAATGGTTCTGTTATTTCTGACAGTTTAGCCACTGATGCAATGTCCACATTTCTACAATCAGAAGCTTCCAGGCTAGTTATGTCCATAGAATAGCTGAAGCTATTCAGTGATGGTTTCTTAGAGAAGATATTCTTAACTAAACATGGTCCAATAAATTTATCACAAGCTGGATACGCAGATCCCACTAGAGTGAAAATAGATGGTTTTAGAAGTATGTTTAATGCGGCGAAAGGGATTGCTAGATTTATGAAACTTTAGGACAAAGAGATAAAGCTTCTAGAGATGGAATGTCTGTTGTTAGAAGAAGCTGTTGCAGTTATACACAAGGTTGCACGAATGGTGATCCTCTAATGTTAACATTTGGTAGTTGAAGATGCACTAAGAACCATTTTGTAATACTTTTGGGAATCTTTGACGCAAGTAACAAAAGATCAAATATTTATATTTTATGGCAGATGAGTGAGATTACACTTCTTGTGGATACTGCTTCTCGCCTTAAGGAGCCCTTTTTAATGGTTATTGTGGTAATTAAAAAAAGACTAGCAATCTTCAATTTTGATTCAATCATTTTGGATTGCATGAAATTCAAGAATTTATTATTGGTGATACAAAAAAGTCTCCCATATCATTTATTTTTTGCATTAAAAAGCCCTATTTTTTAAAGTGTTTACCTGGAGCTTTGGGAACCATTATTGCCATTACTGATTGAGCATATTTTTTTCAGTCTTGAATAATTTATCATGAGTTGCAATTCCTGTATCATGCTACCTTGTAAACCAATATAATCTTCATTCAGTTGGTCTTTGAAACTGGATTTTTAGATTTTCCTTGTAATACTTTTGTTTAGCTTATTCCTAGCAAATTATCCTTTTTGTCCAAATCCATATCTACAATTTTGTGATTTTCTTATAATTTTTTATCAAGAGAGCATTTCTGCGTATTAGACATTTTGGTAGCTGATGATTTGAAATAATAATTGATGTTATAGTGCTAAATTTATGTGGAAAGCTGGGAGAATATGGAATGTTGAGATATGATCAGAGAGTAAATAATTTTTTTGTTGTAGATTATTTTAAAATATGATATTACATTATAAAAAAATTATATTATGATGTGTAAAAGTTGTAAAATATTTCATAAAAGTTGACACATTTTTTAATTTATAATTGTTAGTTAGCATATAATTTTTTTTAAAAATTTGACATTTACATAATTTATTTTTATCTCAATATATAAGGGTATAAATGTAATTTATTTCAATACAATTGCAGCATAGCAACTTGACAATTATACTTCCCAAATAAAATATACTGCTTTATGTACAGTAATTTCAAAAAACAATTTTATGTACAACAATTTTATAGCCTGCTTTACCGACAGTTGCAGCAGTCCCAAACGCACCTGGAGTTCCTCACTGCACAAAAAAAGTTTAGAAATCATCCAGCTCAATGGTTGTAGATTTGTACGTATTGCAGTTTTGAATGCTTGACATTGAACAAGGAGGCCATTCAAGGTTTGACGAATGATATTTTTAGGATAAAGCGGAGACCCAGTAGCTGCAATTGAATAAATCTTGCCTTTAACAACCAATAGATATTGCCATTTTTTGTCTTTCATAGCCAAATGACGAAGTTCATTTTTAAGTTAGATAATCTGAGAGGAGTAGAAGATTGAAGGCGGTGAGCAATGATAGACCAAATATCCGTACGGTGAACAAATGACAGCACATAGGGTAATAAATAAGGGGAAATGTCAGAATAGAGAGCGTTTGTTAAATTCTGATCAATATGAATCTAGGTGTGATAATGAGGATTGGGTGTAGGTAAAGTTGTAGCATTGAAGAGGTGTTTGACTGGACAAGTACAAAATCCATCTAAAAATCCTTCAAAGCCATTAACACGAAACAAATTTATCACTTGAGATTGCCAGGTTGGGTGATTTTTAGAGGTCAGTTGAGTAGAGATGACATTTTTAACATTAACGATCAAGAACTCAATTTGAGAAAGAACTAGAGCACCCATCTATCTCTGAATTTTCAGTAGAGGAAGCTACTGTTGTATTCATTATGATAGAGATGAAGACAACCAGTAGGAATAAGTGGCTCTGATACCATGTGAACCTGCATAGAATAAATCAGTACCAGAGAAACTCTATACTAGAAGAACCATGAAATTGCAGCCAATTCATCTTCAATACATCCCCTCTCTGAAATTACAAGACTATATATATAGTAATAAAGTAAAAAGGAATCATGGCTGCAGCAAAAGTTAGTTAGCTATATATGGCTCTGTTGCAGAGTATGTGAGAAATGAATGATCAGGATGAATGACATAATAGAATGCCAGCTTTATACTTTCCACTATGTACTGTACGCTGACGTTTACATACGTATGATCAATTGAATGGTATGATTTCAAGAACTTATAACTGCATGATACCCAATTCATAAGCTGAGAATTGAAGATGCTCAAGTATGCAACATAAAATCCATGTGACCAAAATAGCTGGCTGCTGGAGACCTCTTGACCTTTTTAGTTTATTAAGGTGTAATAGTGGAAAATCAAGCTGACCGTCTGACACTGATGCTTGAATTTAAGTGTTGATGATCCATGATCTATAAAGGGTGACATGAATGGACTTAGGTGGCATTAAAAAAAAAACTTAAAAAAAACAAAGACCTAACTCACTGGGAAAAGGTTAGCACATGCCCTATATATACATTTATACACATATTTTTTTTTTAAAGTAGTCTCCAGACTATTTGTGTTGAATATATTCCTAGAGTATCACGTTGCTCCAATTTAGTCCCTCAATCATACAAAATTGATCCAAAATGATTCATCATGTCGTATTTGTGATATAAAATTGATCTAAATTTAGTCCTAAAGGAACCATTTTAGATCAATTTAATATAAGTTAAGGAATTATGGCTTCATTTGAGACAACTTTCTTATTGCTTTCTAAAGCTTTTTTCTTGTCAAAAATTTTCAAGTTAAAAAAAAATTACACCAAAAAGATGCTTTATAAAACAGTAAGAAAGTTGTCTAAAACAAATCATAAATTAGAGCAACATGATACTTTGGGACTAAATTGTCTATATACAAATAACCAGGGGACTATATTTCAGTTTACCCCTATATATATAATAGAAAATGTGTTATCATATATAACGCATCTTTTAACTAAGCTAATATTTAAAGATGTCTAGCACTTTCTTTTACCTTGTGAGCTCTACATTAATATTACCGAACTTCTTGCAAGATCACTTGTAGAACAATAAACCTTTTGGTGTTGAATTATCCATTGAGATTTTATGTTATTGATCAAAGTGTGGAGGTTGCAAAATCTGACATCATTGGGCTCATTGAGATTTAGGATTTTCTTGTAATTGAGGCCCGATGAAAACAGTGAATATGTTGGGTAAAGTCAAAAGGAAAATCCTTGAAAATGGAGTAATTGACTGAGGCTGTGATGCCAGGGCTGACTCATACATAGGAATAGGGATGCAATCATGGGAAACTGTTGCCGTATCTTGAGCAAGAGTAGGCACAACTCCACTGAAAGTTACAGAAACAGCCATTCGATACCAATTCAAACTTGATAAATCAGCCCTGGCTTAGATTTGTTGCCTAATCCTTTTTTTACTAAGGTCTAGCTAGCTAATCAAACTAATGTTGGCTCTAAATAATAATAAATGAAATGCATAATTTCTAATCATAGAAAATTATCTAATACTTAGGAATATATTTATTTATTTATTTTGTATAAATGATGGGCCAAAGAAAGCTAGGTATTCCTCATGCAAAAAAAAAAAAAAAAAAAAAAAAAAGGGGCTAAAAGTTTTTACAATCATGGTTAGAATGTTACCCCAACCCTGGAGCCCCTTCCAATCCCATCAAAACCTAGGTTTGTCAAAAATATGAAAGGAAAGGTGAGCTCCCCTTTCTTCTAACTGTGTTAAATTGATTACTGAGAAGCTTTTAGATGGAAATCCTTACTCAGCCAAAGCAAATTCATGAATACCATGAATTTGAATGTTTATGCTCGTATGAACTTTGCAGATGCATCATACTGAGCAACGTGTACCCTGTAAAATTGCTTTAATAGTTGTGATAATCTTTAACATCTTTTATTCAGTGATTATATGATTGAGGCTCCCAAATACTTTAAAGGACTACTAGGTAGAATATAATCTTCTTAAGATACCACTGACATACTAAATTTGAAGTAGATTATGCATTATAATCAAAATTAAGATTTTCAATATTGAAATTTAATACAATTTAGAAGCTTAATTTGATCAAATTACATCCATCTTCGGATTATTCTTGTTACAGGTGGTGTGGTTTTATTTTCTAGATCACTTGCTCCATTGAAGCGAGAAGGGATTCGAGTGAATGTGCTTTGTCCAGAGGTATGCGAACTTTAAACTAATAAATTTATTTTAGGCTAAATTTTTGAATGAAATAGCATATAAATTAATACCAAGTGAAGCAACATAAAAAAAAAGAGAAAAAGAGATTAGGCCCAATCTTCTGTTGGATGGTTGACTAGCTTTGTCTCATTAGCAAATTTGGGCTTACATGACAAAGCAACTCACTTTCGGGTTTTATTATTTTTTGTTTTTTTAAATTTTGTAGCCAATTTCTTATGTATGCAATTGAAAATTTACTCATTTTGAGAGAAAAAATAAATTTATATTTTATATAAAATTATTGAAATTTCCTTTTTGAGCAAAGTTAGTTTAAGATGAAAAATATGTTTATAGTTTTTATAATTTATATAAGTGTACAACAACAATAACATCAAGCCTTTATCCCACTACGTGGGGTTGGCTACATGAAATTTTTTTCTCCATTGTGTTATGTTAAGAGTCAAATTCTCATTTAAATCTAATAAAAAAAAGATCATTTCTAATATTTTCTAACCAAGTCTTTTTAGGTCTACATGTATATCTCTTAACATAGGATAAATCTAATACATATAATCTCCTAACCAGGTCATCAGAAGGCCGACATTTTATGTGAACAACCCATCTAAGGCAACTCTCTCTAATATTATATGACATTGGAGCTACTCCGACCTTTTCATGTATATGCTCGTTTCACATTAAGTAAAGCCACTCATCCACTTGAGCATCCTTATCTCTGCAACACTTAACTTAATATTATGCTACTTTTTACTAGCCAACATTCTGCGCCATAAAGTATTACAAGTCTCAACATCATCTTATAGATTTCCCCCTTAAGTTTGAGGCGCACTTTTCTATCACACAACAGGCCCGATGTATTCCTCCACTTCAACTATCCAACTTGAATTCTACTAATAATATCTCATTCTATTTCATCATTACTTTGGACAATATACCCGAGATATTTAAAACTTGTACTCTTATTAATGAATTGATAGCCCAAAGTCATAATTTTTTCTAAGTGTGATGCATAAAAAATTATAATTTATTCATCTTAATGTAAATATAATATTTTGAATTAGATTTATATCATGAAAATTTTGTCAAATATTCTGACCCAAAATATTTATCAAATTCTATAGCATTAATATATTTTAATTATAGAATAATCGATGTTTTAATTTATTTTTTGCCACTTTTATTTGAATCTAGATCAATATTCTTTTCAGATGATAAATATATATGGGCTTATTTAAATATAAATTTTTATTTTGCTTGACGGATTCCAAGGATACTTTACAGGCTATCAAAAACTGTTAAATTTAAGTTGTTTTCTTCACTTTCAAATCGAATGTACTGTATTTAGTCATTTTTTTGTCAGTTAGCCTATGAACTTTACAGATAACTACGGTACTACAGTTTTATGTCAATTTTCATTTCACATCTTTAAGAGCTTTAAGTCAATTCAACTGGCTTCTTTAATAGCTAGTTTCAAATCAGTTAATCATAAATCTTTATTATTGTTACAACCATCTATGTTATGATATTTATGCTCTATCAAATTGAATGCATTGTATTTAGTTCAGATTTTTGTCACATGGCCCATGGACTTTACAGTCAAGTGGGCTCACACTATAATGTTTTTCCATATCGAAAGTAAAAAATGTGATGACAAATTCATATGGGACATATATTTACATCTTTTTCCAACATCTTGATAATAAGAAGTTTTAACAGGGAAGGATTAGTAAAAATCCAAAAGGGGTTAAACTTGTGTTGTAAAGTAGGTCACACCATCACACAAAATCAATTGTAAACACGAATACGCAGACTTGAGTAAGTAGAGAAAGCTAAACGACTGAGGCATTGCCAAGAGGTGCTTTTGAAGTATTTGTAGAATATGTTCGGATTTGGATGTATTGTGTTTCCTTTTCTTTGTTTTGATGTCTAATATATAATTACGTTTTTCTTTTTTTCATTTTTGGAAGTTTTCATTAGGATAACGTAGTAGTTTCTGTTCTCATTCCATTTACTTGTTATGAAGAAGAAGTTTTAAATCTATTTTTGTTCAATTCTACATACCATTTACTTTTTTATAAAGGAAGCATTTGTAAAAAATATGTTGAAGCTGTGAAACCCTTTAAGAACATAAAGTTAAATCTTAAATATTAATGCACTTTTGATGTAACGGTTGGAATATCAGTAGAAACTCCAAAGTTAAGCATGTTTGTACTGGCACGCTCTTAGGATTGGTGATCTCCTAGGAAGTTACACCAAGGGGACAAAATTGCATTTGCCATTTGGCCAAAGTGGACTATATCTTAATTGTTGAGAGTTTGGGCTGTTACAAATGATATCAAAGCAATACACTAGTCGGAATATGAGAAATAAGTGTACCTATTTGTTTGGTGGATGATTTTGGGCTAAGGAAACTAAGGAGGACGTCGACTACTTAGGTGGAGAAGATTGTGAAACCCTCAAATCCCTTAAATAAAATTAAGTTAAACTCTTAAATATTGAGATTTCTTTTGGTATAATGGTGAGAATTTCATTAGAAACTCCAAAGTTAAGTATGCTCATATAGGAGCACTCTTATGATGGGTCATCTTTCGGGAAGTTACAACAATGAGACAAAATCGTGAGGCCATTAGGACAAAACTGACAATATTTCAATAGTTGAGAGTTTGGGTTGTTACAAATGGTATTAGAACAATACACCAGCCGAAAGATAGGAGTTATGTGCTCCTTATATGCGTAGTAGATGGTTATGGGTTAAGGATACTAAGATATTAGAGTAATACAACAGACGTAAGATGAGGACTAAGTGCTTCTATCTACCTTGCGGATGATTATGGGCTAAGGAAATCGATGAGGATGTCAGTTATCTAAGTGAGGGAGATTATGAAACCCCTTAAGAAAATAAAGTTAAACTCTTGAATATTGAGGCGCATTTTGGTGTAACGGTTATAATTTTATTAGAAACTCCAAAGTTAAGCGTGCTTGTACAGGTGCACTCTTAAGGTGGGTGACTTCCTGAGAAGTTATACCAATGGGACAAAATCGTGAGGCTATTAAGTCAAAGTTGACAAAATCTCGATGGTTGAGAGGTTGGGTTGTTATAGAATAGAAGCCATATCACCTAAATATATTTATATATTAGATGGAAACTTACTTTGGAAACAAATAACTAACTTTATATTTATTCATTTAAAATACTCAAAATATCCATTAAAATCTAGAATAAATTTGAAATAAAATACTGAACATATAATAACTTAAGGTCTATGATGGTTTCTTCATGGTTTAGCATCAATCACAAACATGTAGTGACTTGCCTCACAGATGGGCTGGGTTTTCAACATCAACATTCTCATATGTCACTTCCTCTGAAATTATCTGGGCTTGGTTTCTTTGTATAGCCCGACAATATAGCCTTAGGTAGATTTGGAGTTATTACTCAAGTTTGGCTAGGATAAAATATGGTGTCACTGGTCTCAATCTTATGATGCCCAAAATGTTGCAGAAACAAGCTATTGTGATGCAGTTGTTAATTGGTGTGCATGATTGTTGGTTAGTCGTTAGCCCAAAACACGAGAGCCAACCACTCTCTACATCCACCGGCATTTATTTGGAACTAGTCGCTAATTTAGCGGGCAATTGAACTTGTTACCTCAGCGTACAGTAACTGGTTAAATGGGTGACTTGGCCTAAATTCAAATTTTTTTAATCACCACTTTACAGATAATTTAAGTTATTATGATGTTATGCTTTAAAATTTCATATTTATTTTATCATGTTAGAAGGATGATTTTCTTCCCAGTGGGAATATCTTCTTAAACAATGCAATTTGCATATGCTAACAAAATAAAATAAAATATGAAGTTGCTATTCTTTTGCTTTTGATATCTAGATTGTTAAATCATATTATGCAAAATTGTAAATTATTGTAAATAATTTGATACCAGAGTTGCTATACCTAAGTTCTTCAGTAGTTCTCACTATTCATGATAAGATGCTTATAGTTGAAATTCGAAGTTGCTTATGGAACGTTGTAAAATGTTGGTTTCGGTGAGAATAGCGTGATTAACAATATTTCTACTAATGCAATAGGCTTCTTCAAGTTTACAATGTGATTAATAAGAATGGATGGCGTACTTTTACTTCGCAAAAGTGCTAGCATAACTTATACTAGCCCTTATGGGATTATTTAGAAACAAAATTTTGCTCTTGTGTGGAGCTTAACTTTCAATTTTTTCCAGTCACATTACACTTATTGTTTGTCCCCTCTGATTTTTGTTTGTTTCATGATTAAATAGCCTTTAAGGTTGTATTCTTTCTAATCTTTCTGTCTTTTTGCTTTGCTGATTAAAGGTTTATGTGCTATAACTACTTTGATATACTTTCTTGACCATTACAATTTTTCAGAGTCAATATGTTGTTCCATTTTAGTATGGCATCAATGCTATATGTTAATATGCTGTTTTTTATCATCCTATTAATCAATACTAGGCTTTTGTGTGCATCATACACTGCAGTTTGTGCAAACGGATCTGGCATCAATGGTGGATGGGAGATACATTAATGCAGTTGGTGGTTTTGTATCTATGGACATGGTTGTGAATGGTATGCTGTCATTGAGCATTTTAGTTTTTGGCATTCTCATTTCTAAAGAACTGTTGATTATTTTTTATTTGTCATAGTGCTAAATCATTGCCTCATAAAACTTGAAAATATTTGGATTTATGGCCCCTTTTATCTGTTTGATTTCCGCTAAGAACTTCATTGTTCTGCTGATGATTTGGTTCAGTGCTTGTAATTTTTCATGCCACATGTTGGAAGTGATTGCTATAAATTATTTGAAAATTTGTAATGCGCCAGTTGTTGGAAAAATAACCCAAAATAAGCTTGCAAAAACCCTTAACACTATAGGTGCAAAAAAATGAAGTGGTTCAACCACATTGACTTCCCTACGCCCACAATTGCGTAGAAATAATTGAGAAGGAATATCATAATCTTCTATTCCATACAGTCCTTTAAATGTTGAGAGTGATAATAAGGAATCATAAAGTAAAACAAGATACTTTTGGAGTTGATATCACTATTATTTATTTATATTTCTTGTTCGCAACAGTAAAACATTTTTCAGCACAACCAAATTTTGCCCCTACCACCAACCGCTTTTTCTGGCATCATGGTGTTGCCTACGACACCACCACCCTTATGTGGATGCTACCATACTGCATCTTTTGATATGTACTCCATCAAACCAAGGCTATTCGAGTTGTCTGAACTTTGGAGAATAGAGGTCTGAATCTTTATCAAGAAGAAGGAATGGTAAGATCAAGGAAGATCAAGGAACAATAATTTGTGCTGCCTTGCCACCTCCATCTCTTTATTTCTAGATTTAAAAAAATGGTGACGAACATCAGGCAACTAATATAAGTTAGTTAATGACAGCTATGATACAACTCAACTAATAGAAAATTATCATTATAGAAAGCTAAGTCTTTAATGAAAAATTATAATTCTCGATGCTTTTTTATTGCTAACTTCATGAGGTTTTGATGCTTTCTTATTGCTAACTTCATGAGGTTTTGTTTGTTCCTCAAATTAGTGTGGAGTTGCTGTAGAACTTTTTTAGACTCCCGTTGTACTTCATGCTGTCTTCGCCTTCGGTGAACTTGGATTGTGTGGAATCATTGTTGCGGGGGTATTGTCCATAAATGATTTGAAATGGTGTCAGCCCTAGGCAATTATTTGATATATCCATTACAAAATTTTGGAGATATTATTCCAACTGTCTATTTGTGACCTCCGTTTGTCCATTGACTTTGGTTAATATGAACTACTATTTTTCAAAGTAGTTCCTCCTACTTCAAGCTCTTGAATTTTGGCCTCATATTTCTTTAGAATCACCTCTCGTTCTTGCTTGAATTGTTCTTGCATAAATTTCTTTTTCTTCATATATTGCTCCGTACACAAGTGCATCTTCATTTGTAGTTTTTATAATTCATTTTGTAGATGATTGGTTGAACTTCCTTCTGACATAATTCATCTGTCCATTGGAAGAGGGAGTTCAAAATCTTCAGGTTGATTTTCTTCCACAATTGATTCAATTTTTTTTTTCATTTTTTTAAACACTTAAAAAAGATGCAAAAAAACCTAGGAAAATCCAAACCTAGGCTCTGATACCAAATTGATGCAACCAAAAGCTCCCAAAACAAGTAGGAGATCCTTGGTCACAAAAAAGAAATAAAATAAAAACTAAACTAGGTCTCCACAACAAATTGGAGACCACAACATAACTTTTGTAAAACAAAACTTTAATTTGATAACTTGAAATGACATTACAATGACACTTACAAACTTAAGAAATAAAAACACCTAAAGGAGCTTGCATTTCCATCGCTTGAGAAGAAAGATGCTGATGGCATCGAACTTGCTGAGAGAGAAAGAGGTTAGAAGCCGAGACGAAGGAGAGGACAAGCTCGCAAGCTTTCCTAGGAGAAGAAAGAAAGAGAATGGAACAAGCTCGCAAGCTTTTCCAAAGAAGAAAAAACCCTCAGGTTTTTGGCTCAAAAAATCTCATTTTAAACTCCTCTTTTATTCTCAAAATATATAATATATATAGGAGAAAAGGGGGTAGCTAAACAGCCAAAGTTTCCCCCATTTAAACTAATTAAAAAGGGGAAAATGGAAGGCCAATAGTCAATCCAGAAAAGCACCTGAACAGTCACACAAAAAATCGGAAAAAGTAGCTAAGGGGGGAAGGAACAGCAGCCATGGGAATCGGTACAAGCAACCCAGGGAACCGGAACAGGCAACCCAAGGAACCGGAACAGACAGCCAGACAGGGAACTAGAACAGGCAACCAAGGGGGGAGAAGAACCGGGCACCACATGGAACCGAAACCAGCAGCCCAGGGAACTGGAACAGACAACCCAAAGGGGGAAGGAACTAGCCACGGGAAGAATAACCAAATGGGGGAACCAAAGGGCCATTAGAGAGGGGGAAAGAACCTACTTAATCTCCAATTTATGAGCTTAAAAAGTAGTCCTAAAGATATTAGTGAGCTGAATTTAGTAGAGGTCATAGAAGCTCACCAAATTACAACCCAAAATATTTTGACCCCCCTTTTGCCTACATCAGTATGTACATTCTTGTATTCTGTTGTTATGGTTTTTTGAATCCTCATGATTAGCTCTACCCATATGTCTGGTGAGTTAGAAGGACTTGTCTTAATCCATAGGCTTCTTAAGACATTGTATATACCTGAGTTTTTTGAGTGCAAGAATTTAATCAATTTAACCTTTGAGCTTGTTGAACTAGAGAGACATACCACTAAAATTTTAGACTTTTTGAGCCAATGGAGGTATGAATGTGCAAATTTTGCTACATGAGCTTAACAATTTTGTATGTTTTGAGATGACTTGCCCCTTTGACTTATTAAGCTAATGAAACCGTACCCCATATGTCGAATGATCTCTATAAAATGTATTTCCTTGATACCAAGCTTCAATGTTCACTGTAAGATATTTGTTGTGTGACTTGAATGTTTTAAAATGCATGTCATGTTTTAAAGCAACTTTCAAATAGACTAGTCTAAGTCTCAACTTTGAACTGGTCAGCAGTTTGCATCATTTGAGAATGTTGTTAATCCCACATGAATATGTATATATATATCTTAAAGCTAGTGGAAGCACATGACAATCCTTTTTTTATGGGCTCTATATTCACTAGAATATAAGTGGGCTACTCTTGATACTATTGTACAAAATGAGGAGATATCAAACAATATCTATATAGAGCCTCAAGTGACCAATAATGTAGAGGCCTTCCCTAGTGGAATAATCAAAATTTTGATCAGTAGGGAGTAGTCATTCCCAAGCCCAGCCTACCCTATGAGTATAGAATTATGGAGTAATGGTTTCTTGAGATAGATTATATTTGTTTAACTAGATTTTTCTTGACATCTGATAAAAATTTATTTAAATTTGGGTTTAAGACTTCATATGGTGGCAAGCCTCTATAATTAATTATCCCTCCTACTCATAGAAGAGCAGTCTTGCTTAGGTTGCGGAGATTTAACATTTAGGTTTTAAGTTAATTAATGAGAAATAATTTTAGAAATTAAGGTAGATTCAATCAAATCTCATGGTTCTGTTACTCTGGGTATATTGATACATCTGGTTTTTTGTTTTCCAATGTTAGAAGATATTGAGCTGTATCAGGGAGTCTAATTAGTAACAATGGATTGCCTATAATTAGATATCCTGAGCGAATATTGTGAATGCATGTATTAAAGATGTGCTTTGAAGATTAGCATTGACTTGTCCATTGGAAAAGGGTTGGCCGTACTAGTTTGACTTATTAGTTTAGAGGCACATAAATTTTTCACTTGTGGTTTAGTGGTATTAAACATAATCGTCATGAGTTTAGAATATTTAATGATCATTAATTGTCCACGAGTTTTAATTTGATTCAAATAAACTTGCTTAAAATACATGAAATTTGATTATTGGGTTTGATTTTGATTGATGAACTTGTTATCATAGGAGCGGCCTCGAGTTTAGTTTAGGGTTTTATCCTTGGGAAGGCCCAAGAATTAATTTTTCTTTGATGTGTTTATTAATACAAGAGACGACACCAGTTTAGTTTGGGGTTTGCATTTTTGGAAAGGATTTAGAAATAAATCTTGCTAGCTTTTGTGCTGGCTCAATTGATGAGATTGCAACATTAATAGGCAGTCCAGACTTTCAGCCTCAAGAATGAGGAAAGCTCAATAATGATTATTATGATTTTATCCTATCGGTAAGGTGATCCAATTAATTGGTGTGATGGGCCTGGGTTGAGGTTTATATTCTTTGGAAGTCCTAACAATGATACTTGTGATTTAGGGAGGGAGGAAAGCCCAACACTAAGACTTGATTTTAACTATCAATCTCAACCATGATAAGAGTATAAGGCTTACAACTCTACTCATTAGAGAGACATAATGGTTTGGGACTTATAACTCTAGGTTGAAGGGGAGTCTAACATTGATCTAGTTGTTTTGACTTAATGGCGATTTATAAGGATGAGTCTTGTGATCCGATCTATCAATAAAACCACTTGAGTGGGGAGTCTTATGACGTGGTCTTGTAGGCAAGACAAATCAAATTGTGGGACTTATGACCTTACTCTATATGCATTGTGGCTTAAAGTTTGGGCAAAAAGGTTGGATGGTTGGTATTGTTGGATGAGAGGAAACAAATCAACAAGGTTGAGTGGCGGTAGTTGCTGGACTTAAAGATTTTAAATACAATGTTACTCAGCTTGAGGAAGTTGATCTTGAGGTCTCGAAGTATGGGGAAGACAAGTGATGAGGGCATATGGGATCGATGTTCTAGTTGCTGGAAGGTTCTAAGATAGAGCTTGAGAGTTTGTGTGTGGCTGAGAGAAAAAATAGAGAGAGGGTCGAGTCATGTAGGAGAAATAACTCAGAGAGCGAGAGGGAGACCTATAACTTGTGTTTGGGAGATGTACTTTGCTGAGAGAATAAGTTGAGAGAGAGAATGTGAGTAGAGGGTGTTGGAGACTTAAAAATTATAGGGCTAGTGAGCAGGAGATGGTGTTTGGAGAGAGGGTTTTTGAGGAGAGTCGTGAGGCTCTCTTGGTCGTGGATAAGGGGCATCAATTGCGAATGTGGGAGAGGTTGTAGTGACTGATTGCTTTAGTGCAGTTGCGAGGGCATGCGTGAGTCAAGATGCGTGGGAATTGTGTCTGGTTTACTCTCCCTTTTTAGGGCAGTTAAAAGCATGAATTGTGGGCTCACATACTCGAGTGGAGCCTATGATCAACGCTCTCCCTTGCAATCATCTTGGCAATGCGTGCAACTACTAGATGCTAGGGGCGGGTGTGACTAAGGATCGAAGAGGGTCCATGACTGTTTAAGTTTGCATACTTCTGACTAATTTGATGGCCAATAAAAGAAGAAATTGAAAAGTAACAGATTGGATGGAGATCTGATTTTGAAATTACTTTTTTTTATAAATCATTTAAAGTAAATTGTTGTCCCGAAATTGGCCAAGAAGGTTCTAAATTAATTGTAAAACTTGCACTCTTAGCTCATTAATGGGCATTACTTTTAATCAGGAAAATTAATTATACCTAGTCTTAAGGATTAAAATCTTTATTAGATTAGTTAAGACTTGATTAAGCAAGTTTAAGCTCAATTGTCCCTAATTTTAAAGCTGAACAGGTACACCGGGCCCAAACTATGCTAGATTGAACTACCAAGCAAGATAATTAAGTAGAGGATTCACAACACAAAGGCAAAATAGTAGTTGAAATATTGAGCCTAAGTTCTAAAGAAAAGCGGTAACTTTTATAACTACATTCTCAATCACAATTTTATTCCATTTTCTCAAAAATAGCTTTTCTATAACAAATTTTGGGAAAGCAAGGAAAATGCTCCAGTTTTTTCATCCAACTGTTTTTCCTACCAAAAAGCTGTAAAAACTTTCACAAATGAAGCTACTATTGACTCTCGAGTGCTTTACGTTTACACAGACCCTTCTTTTAGCTTTAAATAAGATTGTGACTAATGTCATTAGAATTTATTATATTTGGTTTTATTAAACATTATTAGCTTGCCAAGCTTAGTACCAACCACTTTTGCAAAATTTCGTTGGTGCATATAACACTGTTATTTTAAGGCATATGTTTGTTTTTGATGATTCCTAAAAATGAGTTGTCAATATTCTCCACTATAATGCCATTTTTTTCTGATCGTTAACTTTTGTAGAAAAATTAGTTCGTTTAACTGTTCTCCTTTTATGGACACTGTTGACTATGAAATTTCTCGAATCCTTGTCAGCATTACATAGCTATGCTTACCTATCATGTGAGAGTTATTTTTTAAACATCTAGAACATGTCTAATGACATATTTTATTGCATGTTGCATGCCTAGGTGCATTGGAGCTTATTACAGATGAAAGTAAAGCTGGTGCTTGTCTATGGATTACAAAACGTCGAGGATTGGAGTACTGGCCAACAGCTGCGGAAGAAAAAAAGTATATGATACGATCATTGAAATCGAAAAAGAGCTTCACATATATTCCTCACAAAATTCAAGTTCCTGATACTTTTGAAAAAGTGTAAGTCATTTTTGAGGTACATTATATGTAAAATTCATGTCATTTAACTTTCACTTATGCTCTGCCAATACACAAAAGCTGATGCTGAGCAACTTATTCTTGGTTGCTAGAGGGACCTTTCCTTCTGCTATATGATACTGAGAGAGAAAAAGGACTTTGAGGGATAAAAATCATCCTTTAATATAGTTGGGGATTATTATGATCTTTCATAAAGAATCAAATGATCATTTTGATCCTTTTCCTGTTATTGAGATAAAATATGAGCCATGTTATGATCATCATTAGTAAATTATGTTCTTTATGGAGCAGCTAGGTCCTGCTTTACCATTCATTCATGGTGAGAGACATCAACTAGAGAACATAAAGATATGGCGTGGACATTGGAAATTTTTATTCTTTTTGGACAAGTGCCATTCACCATATTATGGTGCTATCAATAATATTGCATTACGTTTCAAGTCTGTACCGATGTTGGATTCCCCAAGTTATTTGATACACTTCAGATCATATTATTATTATTTTTGGACATTTATGTTAACTTTTTTCATTAGTGTAGATCCATTCTCTGGGCCTAGGGATATGTTAGCAGCATAGTTGTTTATTTTGAAATTGTACGTATTGTTTGCAAAAACTAGAAAATGTAAGGCTTTGTTCTTCCCTTAAGTAATTTCAAGAACCCAATTAGCATAAGCCTAAGTGTAATGTCATTTTGTTTCTAAGATAACATATCCTAAGCTAATTGTAGTATCATTTTGTTTTTTATTTTTTTGTCTTGGTTTATTCCATCCATTTTGTTTTAGTTCCCAAAGAAAACAATGAATGCTTTATATGTGAATGATATGTTTATATTTTATGTAAAACATAAACACGGGGGGCTACAAATGAATTGAGCCGAATAGGAGCTTGCTCAAGCTTGAGCTAGTTTGTCAAAACACTATTCGAGCTCTGTTTGAGTATTTGTAGTAGCATACAAGCTCTATTCATTTAAAATTATTATTTGAGCTTTGCTTACTTGCTGACCAAATGTGCCTTATTGACCACATTAACGGCAAGATGATCGAGCAGCTTGTTATATATTATTACAAGCCTTATCGATCTTATTAATGAGCAGCCTATTGAGCTTAAAATTGAGACTTTAATTGATTGAGCTATTAAAGAAAACCATTTTAATGTTCATAAACAAGTAATTTATGTTCATGAACAAAATCATTCTAATATATATAAAAAAACTCTTACATAATCAAATATTAAATATATTTATATTTGCGTCGTAAATGATAATATTATCGAGCCTTACTCAAGCTTTTTAACAAGTTTGTTGACTAGTTTTAAATGATATTGTTCATGATCATAAATGAAACAAACACCAAGTTGTTCAAGCTTGTTCAATTATCAATCGAGTATTTATTAAAGAATTGAAGTTTATTTGATTAGTTAATTAAATGATCATGAACGAGAAGACTCGTCATCTATATCTTTTGTTCTGCCAATTGAACCATGCCACAGTTCTTGCAACCCAACAGTAGCCATTGAATCAATTGGTTATACCTATCTTCATTAGTCCAGCATGGTGGCTTGTTAACACCCACTCAGAGTGATTTCCTTTAGTGATGTAACTACCATTGAGCCTTGATAGTGTTCCCAGCTATGATCAATATCATGCCTCACTTCAACCCTCTTTCAGGTAATCATGAGATATATGAGTTGTTTGGTTTGAAGTAAAATGAGCATTAAGTATTCTAAATGCAGATGTTTTAAAGATATTATCATTTGGCTTGAAGTAAAAGAAATACAAAGTAAAATTTTGAAGTATTTGGAATTCACCATCTAGTTCAATTTTTGGTATATTTAAAAATCAATATATTTATTCAATTTTCAAATACACTATAAATATTTTGTCATTACCACCACAACCGACACAGCCCACTGCCTACGGCTGTTGCTTCCACCGCCTCCTATCGCCCTCCACTATTGCTTGCCACTGATTGTCCTCTACGCTGCTGTTACAGACTACCATGTATGGTCTTTGCTATCGGTTGTTTTCCCCTGCTGACCTCCACCATCACTGACATCTCCTCGGCGTCGACCACTAACCAACACCATGGCTGTGATTTACATTACATTCATTTTATTTCAAGCCAAAAGAAGATTTTATACATGCTCGTTATGTACAAATTTATTCAATTATGATCATAGTTGGTCAGAGAAATCATAAGTCGTGCAAACTTTAGTGTTAGGAATTATTCGATACTTATATTAGAAGTTGAGTAAAGTGTTAACATTAATGATTCAGTTGAACTGAAAATAACTTCAAATAGGATTTTTATTCTGAAATACTTTTCTCTCATTCAAATTTTTTTAGTTGCTACAACCTGAATCAACAATCAATTTGTTAGAAAAGTCTAGAAATTTCTTCCCTTGACTTTTCCTTTTATTTCTTTCTTCCTTTCCTTCTTTTTCTTTATTTTTTCTTGTAATAGTCCCCAGCCGCCTCTAGCACTCGATCAACCACTAGGAGCCCAACTGCTTTAGAGGGCCTTAGTTTATGGAATGTAGGTTGTGCGTGTGTGAACGCGCGTGCGAGTGTGAGCGTCCGTGTTTGCACATGTAAATTTCATGTGTGTGCGTGCGTAGTTTTCATTTGATTTTTCTTCTTAAATCCATTGCCCAATCAACTGCCTTTGCCGCTGGAAAACTCGATAGATTGGGTGCTTCAATATTACTACAATTCAATAAATGCTGCTACCATATTATTAATAGGGAAACTTAGGGAATGTAATTAAATCCTAAGTGATTTCATAATCTAATATAAATATGATATTTGTACATACAGTTACATATAAAAATAAATGAAATGAAGCGTAGAATTTAATAAAAATGATTTCGATGAATTTCAGGATGTGTAAAGTGGGATATAATTTTTTAGGAGAAAATTTTATAATACTTATAAAAAAATTCGGTGTTACATTTAACATCGTAGGTTCTTAGTCTCCCCACATTATTTTTTTGGAACTTAATTGAAGATTATATCTCTTCAAGAATTGTGCTGACATCACCTCCACAATAACTAATTGCTTGAGACTAGGTTCTGTATCTACTGACCAGCCCAATCGGCCCCACCTCACGCACATTTGCTCCCTAAGCGACACAATTGTTCGCCCCCAAATGACACAACTGTTCGCTCCCAAATGACACAACTGCTCACTTTCATTTCCACAAAATTGCACGTAGGAGACAGAACAGCTTCATTCGACTCTCACGCATAGAATCGCCTGTTGGTTGCTCTCTCGCGATCTCCGTCAGCCGCACGCGAGACCCATCCGTCCGCGACCCGATTCGCCTCCGTCCCGCTTGAGCTCACTCCCTTCTCGCTCTCTCTTTTCTCTCGGTTTCACATGTAACAAATGACCCGCATCTTTGTCCCACATGAGGCCCTTGACCGGATTGCAAATCATGGCCTTGCCTTTTCTCCCACGCGTGAGTGATTGCACACACACCTCTGTATGCACGCGACCCGTGACTGCAGGCTCGAGCCCACACACTCGCGCTGTGCTCTTGCATCCTCTCGAAACCAACCCCGACCTCATCTACCTGTGTGACCTAGCCAGTTCCTTGCCCTATTATTATTATTATTAAAAAACTAGTCTCACTAACACTAATGTCGTCGTCATCGTCGCTCACTGTGCACAAAGGTATAAATTTTTTTTTTGTTTGCTTAAACAACAAGTATCGAAGACTCGTCGTTATATCTTTGATTCGGCTGAGGGAAGAATGGGGGTATGAAGACCTGCGCTATTGTATCATTTATCTGGCTAGGAGAAATGAACATACAAAGACCTTGCATCGTCGGATTTTTGATCTGGTTGGGAAGATTGAAAGGCAAGCGCCTACCTGACACCTACACGAGGGTGGGATGCTGGGAGGTTGTCAAAATTTCAAATGACAAAAGATCCTCCTTGTAATTAATCTCAAATAAAATTGTCATTTAAAATGTTTAAAAAAAATTAATTGTTATTTCAATTGATTTAGAAATAAAAAAGTATTAAAAATATATAATAAAAAAGGAGGGGCAAAAAGACTATTATTGATATTTAACATGTGTGCCTCATAAAATTTAGAGACAAGTTGCAAACCCCTTTGAGGATGTTTCTTGGGTAGCCCCTGAAAATACAACACAATGAGATATTCAATTCAATGGTGGCACAACTTCAAGCAAAATTACTTCTAAGGCTTCTAAGAATCCGAATGTTTTAGGAAATTCGAAAGACAACACTATTGACCTAAACAATGGAGAGAATAATGATATACTTGATACAACCAAACCTCAAACCTATGGCGATGTGAGTGGGACGGTTGGTGGTGGTGAAGTAGCAAAGGAAGTTGAAGACAAATACAAAGAGTGGTGGCAATGCTTGAAGAGTTCAAAAGAATGGGCAAGGCAGCAAAACAGAGCATAATTCTAATGAAACTTCGAATATTGAGGTGGGAGAAACAAGGAACATAATTATGATCTAGGAACATGTTATGAGAAAAATAGTAATCCCAAACAGTGCTCTAATTAAATTATAGGCAATGATCAACTATTAGCTAATAAGGACAAGAATTCTGCAGAATCTCAACCGGAACAATCAGGAACAATCAGATAATTCGAACAACTCCTAGGAAACTATTGGAGATGAGCAACAACTTGAAATTGAGAAGAATTCCAGTCAAACAAACAGTGATGAACAACAACAATAAGATGATTTGAAGAATTCCAAGCAGGTGGAGAAATATGATGATGATGATGTTAAGGTTAAGAAAGATCAAGAGATATGAAATGCAATGTCTGTGTTGTCAATATCTATGTGCTGGGAAATGGTTGCGAAAAGGTGCAATGCCCTAAACGAAGTGGGTCTGGCAATCTATAGGAAGCTATCAAACAATACCTGCTATGAATCAAGAAAGCAGAACAACCCCCTTATTTGTCAAGAATATGACGATCCAAATATAGTAGGAAA